CTGCTTTAATGTCATTTGGCCAATTGAATTGATTTCAGAAGCTTTTTAGAGCCGAATGCTAAAGTAGTTTATTTTACTCTCCATCAGTTTTGGTGTTAGGTATACAGGAATCTCTCTTGAACTACTAATAACAAAATGCAAAATATCCATTTCCAGTCCTGTCTTGTAGTGTTGTAGTTGTAGTAGTCTTGTAGTCTGGCTTTATAAGAGTGTCGTTTATTTACCTATAATAAGCAGTGAAAGAATTAAATTCCATTTTTGCGGTGGAATAGAGACAGTAACAATCAATTTGTGGGTCTATGCCGTATCTAAACAATTAAAGGACAAGTTTGTCTCAGATAATTTTATGTGAAGTTAATTCCTATGAAAACATAGCAGGTCGTCTACCAGATAAGTTTGGTTGAGACAAAAGCCTATCATTCAACGATTATGAGGCAAATTTCGGTTTAGGTTCCAAAAGTTCAGTTACCAAAACAACCCGAGTCCTGAGAAATAGAAAATTGGTCGTTATGAGCAGATGCACCATCCTGTTGAAACTATAACAATTTCCAATCGTTCTTTTTTCGATGTGCCGTACGTCGTTGTATTCGTAATAAAAAATTCTACTCAATATAGTATGTTCTTTTTTTACGGACCATATACAAAAAAAAAGTTGATGATGATTTCTCCGAAACGAAACATTGCATTGAAAATCTCGCAACGGGGTCTCAAAAATGAGAAAGTGTCTTTTATTTTTTTGTATCTGTTTAAATCAGATAAAAACAACAAAAACAGCAAATTTCGGTTTTTCTAGCATGTCTTCGGAAGTAATCGGAATTGTAAGGTCATCTTCAATTGCTCATCATTTTTTCTAATTTGACCATCGTCCTATCTTCTATGGTTTCGGAAATCCAAAAAATCACTGTTAGCACCCGTACGTCAGTAAGGGATGTATTGTTTTGGTGTAACGAAGCACCCGTTTTCCGCCCTGAAATTCCCTACCCGTAGCTATGACCACACCATGAAGTCAACCAGCTTTGCTGAACACCCGGTATCTAAAAGGGTTTTATGTTGGGCGCTTCGTTACTAAGGAGTTTCGGAATTATTATTGTTCCAGGAGACGAGGAGTGACTTTTGTGTGTTTTCATTTTTGTTTAATCATTTGCCTTACCGTCGATAACGCCCGGAAGTTAACTAGTGAATCGCCGAAAGAAGAAAAGAGCAAATTAATATTTTAGAATTTCAGACATGAGAAGGTTTAGTTTTTTACGGTAAATTTAAAGTGAACATTGGAACGGCAAAGGTCGTGAAGCTTTCCTAGATACCGGGTGATCTCGATGATCCCGCCATTTGACCTACAAATTTCAATTAATAATGAGTGTTAATTGGAATATCAAATTTGAAAATTTCAACCGGACCACTGGAGTGAGGATGAATTCCGGATAGCTAATCTTATCTGTTACAGCAAACTTCGTCTGATTAGATTGGTCCAGGTGTCATTGGAAGCGCGCTTAATTAATTTGAATTTTAATATCAATACATTTTTAGGACAGCCGCAGGCCGCACAATTAATTACAGAAGTTAATTTCGACCGATTTGGAATTTTCTGCATTTTCCTCCCTGCAAGAGATATATAAGGTAAAGCCGTTGTTTAGGGGGATCTTTTTGCTTTTGGCGTAAAAGCAGGTAAACCGTACCGTATTTAAATCATCAGTTTTTGCTTTTTTGTGTTCTTACTGTATTTAAATTTTTTGCCTTCTGCACTTTCCTGGTTATATTTCTTTGTATTCCGTAATTTTGTTTTAGATTTTCTGAGCCCGTCCCATTTCTCGAGCTGGACGTTTCTGAGGTTTCCGAGATCGACCCGCCAGACCGTTACTACGGCAGACCTCGAACAGGCGCAAGCCCGTTCGCTTGGTGGCGCTCGAGTTCGTGCATACGTCCGTCCACCCATTTGTTCGTTCCGCCGACTGCTGCTACTATCTTAATTGCAATGATTTGTATATTTATTTATGTTACTTTAATGCCTTATTATTTGTTATCAAAAGCAAAGAGGAACTTAAAGAGCCTATCTAAATATTATTTCGGAGTTGGGGAGATATATGGCACAGTTCAATTCTTTGTATGTAAACTAAGGTGATCATGACACTTCCCGTTTTGAAGAGAAGAAAATTGGTAAAGAAGCGCGTTTGTAACGTAACCAGTTAAAAATTGACGCTCAACGTGGGGCACAATAAAAAAGGGTGCGTTTAGTTTGCAATTCCAATTTAAGGGTTCAATATCTTTTAAAATGCCTTAAGCTATTTAATTCATTTTGAAAAATTTCAAGGAATACATCACCAATTCAATTCAAAAGTGCTGGGGCTTTTTTGAGAGTTTTGGAATTTCAAGCCTCTTTTTGATTGGTTGAATTTGAGATTGTGATTTAGAAATTCTTTTGCAAAAGGAATTGGTACTTTGGAATGAAGTTGAGATTTAGATAGGCCTATAAATTGAAGGCATTACAATTTATAAAAGCGACGATCTTTCCTTGTGCACTGTGTGAAACTGTATCCGTTAATAGTGAATGTGTCTAACGCGTGATCGCTTTAGCCGTTTCCAAAAATGTATTGTCAAACTTGTTCAGCGTAGGGAAATTTACACATGTACCGCTTGATAGCGAACGTAAACGAAAATATGTCTGGCGATAACAGATATCAGGAAACGTATTGCGGAAAACGAGCGCAGTTGCCGCGAGCTCTTCGGACCTAACAGTTTGGTTCCATTTTGCCGAACACGTGACGGAAATGCGAGTTTCCTATTTGTTTAAAAGGTACGCGAATCGAAGTACTTGTGTTCAGAAAATAAGTTCCGTTTTAGAGGTTCTAACAGGCGAAATTTACATAGCGAGAAAAGTGGGAGAGCGGTAATTCTAAGCTGGTATTTCGCGAGCGATCACGTACACCGTGCTTAAATTTTTGTATCATTGAAAATTCATCCTACGTTAATTTTCACGAATCATGAATTTTTAGTCAAGTTATAAAAGAGGCGCGTGCGATTTGGTGCACGAGAAATTTTGTGTGAATGCGGACGGTCAAAATTCAATAGCCAAAACGTGCGGTTGGTTATTTTCGGGAATTTGCATAATAATATTGATTGAAGTAATTTTAATATTCCTAAAAGAATCGACCCATAGGAATTATTTGTATGAACAGATGTGTATTACATTTATGAATAAGAATAGAATCTAAACAAATGATTTTGGTTGTTTTGTTTCATTGAATAGAAAAATTGCGTTTACTTTCAGCAATACCATTCCCTTGGTTGGATTAAATTTTTTTTTAACATTCAGAGATGTATGTATATTTTGAAAAATTTAGCATGGGCGCGTGATGACGAAATAGACATCGCATTTTCTGTATTTCGTCAATATTGCATCCAAGAACGTGTAAAGAAGAAATAAAACCTGCGCATGCGCGATTGTTCCTTTATGCGTAGTAACCTAGGTGTCAATCAGTTTGGCCGTTTATCCGGAAATGAGACCTTGACAAACTTGCGCATGCGGGATTCTTCCCAATAGCTTTTGAGCCCTTCCTTTTATGTCTAAGAATAAGTGTATCAAGTTTGTTTTAAATCGGTTCAGTCGTTTAGCCGGATGTGAGAGTACAGACAGACAGAACGTCAAAAAAGTAGAGGGTAATTTTTTACCCAAGCGCAATACCTCCCTTACTAACGTGCGGGTGATAAAAAATGGAGCTTGACCGCCCCTGTTTCTATTAATATATTAAATCACTTAAAGTCATATGCGTAATTATTGTGCAATCAAATCTGAGCATTAGATTTTGAATTTCTGGTATAGAAAGGAGAGAAAGGGCCAAATATGCCGTCGTGTTTTGTTCTAGAACATTCGGGAAGGCTCGCGAGCACTCGAGAACACTCGGGTTTACTATATAATCAAATCAAATTGCGCTTATACATTCACTTTGACTGTTCGGTCGGTTGGTCGGCCGGCTGCAAAGGTTTTTTAAGTATAACTCTCGAAGGAATAATCGTAGAATGTTCGGGTTTGAAGCATTAGCTTTGTGTCACAATTCTTTACATACAAATTATATTTCAGCGCTAAAAAAAACTCTATCCGTCGCACAAAATGCGCTTAAGTAGCTCGACGCATCGAGTACTTTGCAACTTGTTTTTTTTTTCGGCTTATCTGCCCGTGGGAATTGCCATTGGAAAGTGTTCCCACACCATTGGACCATCAACATCCAATACTATACTATTGCCTTTAAAAAAGTATTCCAAGACTCTATATTTGTTCTAGGCATTTACAGGTGCCAATGATTGGCAATGCTTTATTCTCTTTCGATTTGTTTGTAACTCCAATTAATAGTAAACATCAAAAAGGTAAAATGTCCCATTCCCATACGCAAGTTGGCGCACCCTACCTTCATTTGCATATTGCCAAAAGCCGCATAGTGAAAATCGGTTACGGCGAAATCTCGCATAAAATCCGACAGTCAAATAAATAACGTCAAATTGGCAATAACATATGAAGAAGGAAGCTCCAACGAAAACTCAACACGTTTCCCGATATTCCAAAATATCTAAATATCTGGTCATTGCACCGAACCGCCGCCGCTTGTAATAAAATTTTGGGATGTAAATCAAAAACCGAAAATATTTTGCATACTTATGACTTTTATAAACTAACAGTAGTGAATAAGGATGACATTGAAACATTTATATAACTTGTTATACAATTAATAACATGGGAAGCCAGTTGCCTGTTTTTATATTTAAATGGTGCGTAGTACATCATAAATTTTCGAGCATGTTAGAAATTCGTGTTGTTAACTGTTTTTTTTTGGAAAAAAATAAATAAAGCCCGACACTCGTCCGATTAAGACGCAAGAAACATTATACCTAGAAAGTTGTAAAGATAACTTACATCAAGTGTCATATCGCATTAAGAGCGAAATGATGCGTGTAACTTTCCTGAAGATATTCGACAATATCGCTGCGCTATCGTTTTTCATAATATTCAAATCGCTTACCTGTAGTAATCTTTTTTGCAGTATATGTTTCCATCCCGCGAGAAGCACGTAACGTCGCCATCGAGCGTGTTTCGACATTGACAGCACTGAAGGCAAGAAGCATGCCATCTTCTATCAACCGCCTGCAGATAAAATCTATCCGTAATTCTCATCCCACATCCAGCGCAAACGGCTATATCGTTATTGTTGTTGGGCGACGAGGGCGGTGTCGCCGACGGTTGTATTGGCTCTAATTTAGGTATATGTTCTAATTTTGGTATCTGATGTTCGTAGGAATGGAGCTGTCTGAATTCGGTCGATGGGGCGCATATATCGGTTTGATGTGGTCTACAAATGTCCGACGAGCAGGAAGATTGATGGTGGTTGTTATTTGACGGTGTGCTGCATGAACTGCTGCTCGAAATGCTTGGATCTACGTCACCCATTGACGAATCACATGAAGGAAGATTTGGCGAGAGGTCGCGCGATGGGTCGTATGCCGGGCCTATGTACTGCTCGTGCTGCTGCTGAAAAACGAAAAAGGATATTAGTTTTGCAAAACCTTTTTGAATGGTCTTACAACATTTATAATGTAAGGGGTGGGTATCACGAAATTCGAAGCGTAAACTTTACATTTACTTTTAAGTTGGCATAAATCTACGCAGAAGATAGAGGGCGCTGCATGTCGCATCTGACATACGTAGTCGTATGGAACACAAATTTGACATCAAGCTCATTTTAAATAGTAATGGGAGAGAGTTGCGTATTACATCTTCCATCACCCGCATGGACAGATTTTTTTCGAACCTGCTAACAATTTAGCATCTACCGCCTTTTAAATCGCAATGAGGAAGGGTAGCTTGTCGGATCTTCCACCCTTCACAGAGACTTTCAGCTTCAGCATGTATCCTATATTTGCTTCAATAATTTTGAGTAAATTGTGCATCTGACTACAAGAATTTTCCACTCCAGATAATGCCCTTGTGCTATTAGACGCACTTACTGCGTGACAAGGTTTAAAAATCCACTATTTAACGTTTATCAAATGAAAGACAGGGCACAATGTAGTGGACAAATTTTAATAAAACCTCTTACGTAATGTAAATTGTTACAGCAGAAATCCTGGCCAGATTCTTACCAAAAAAATCATGCTATAAAGTAACATAGCCTCATAATTTGACGAAATGAAATACCGTGAACTTTTGATACTGTTGAACATTTTTAAGTTCTCCAAATTTTTTTCGAAATTTTCGTATTGAATACGAATAACTAAGGTGCCGTTTATAACCATTACCAATTTAGTTGTAACTAACAGAAAGAGCGACGTTCCCAAAGCATCTACTACACGTATGATAGATACATTGTTCGACTCCAAGAGAAGAAAAGAAGATTGCCATATGGTTTATGAATAGGCAAAATTTAGAAAAAAATCTTTCTGGTAAATCGTTATCTCCGGATGTGCATCGTAATGGAGTTTGATATTTCACGATTGATTATTTTCATTGAACTGACTTCAAAGTATAATGCGATTTTTAAGCAATATTGACATTTAAGCAAAAAAAAAGGTAGCTAAAGTATGTACGTCAAATCCCTGTCAAACATCAGCACTCCCAAATTTTTATTTTGAATTTCATAAAGACGCGTATTCACTAGGAACGAGGCAAGCCGAGGCCGAACGAACATACCAAGTGTGGACCTGTTATCGAGGCGCGGCAAACAGAATTTTGTTGTGCGATGCGCGGTCCGAGACAGCTCCAACGCCATCCGATCCGAGTCGGTACATCAAAGAAACAAGTATAAATTGTGCACAACTCTTGTGCAGATAAAGCGCATTTTTTTAACCGTAAATAGCTTTTGTTTTGACATCACCAATGGATATATTTCTTGCAGACGTCTCAATCGCCCTTTGTGAGTACCCTCTTCCGACAATCGGTTCGTGAGGTATAAGGGAATATACCCGATCACGATAAGAGGTCGAGGGAGGGCTATGGTTGGTAGAAATTAATTCTTTTCGTTGAGACCTTTCATTAGAGTACCATGAAGGATAAAACTAGTTCCACCCCTCCCCCTTCCCCCCTTCGCCGTACTTTGATAAGAGGACAGAAAGAAGGGCAGTAGTTGGTAGAAAACGGTTCCTTTCGTTGAGACCTTTAATTAGAATACAATGAGAGATAACATTAATTTTTAACACCCCCCCCCCTCCCCACAGGCCCCGTCGCTCACTGATCTCGAAAAAGAGTCACAGGGAAAGTTATAGTTTGTACAAACCAATTTATTTCGATGAAACCTTTCATTAGAATACCATGAAGGGTAAAACATGTGCCCCCCCCCCTTTTCCAAAAGTTTAACTTAGCACGACTAAAGGCATCTGAGCTCAATTGGTTGTCGTATGTAAAAGCTATGCACCTTTTATTTTCAAAAACAGCATCTCAGGAAATAATTCGTGGGGGGAGGCCCCTTTTTGGACAGCGAAATTTTATGGCCGTCTACACACCTTCAAGATATAGGCTACCTACTGCAAAAAATTCCAGAACTCTAGGACCATTCCCCTAGAAGTAGTTCAAAACGGTAAAAGTGGGTCCGGACGGACGGACAACACGCAAACAATAGCACATTTTTTTTATTCTTAAAAAATGCGCTAGAAATCGATGTAGTGTGGACGGTTTTTGGTTTCAGTTGCCTCGCCTCGCGACCATTGCGTTCTGGTAATGTTTCGAAAATGGCCATTTCCCTCTTCCACCATGCTGTTTAAAAATGAGTGACCTCTGGTGGTCAATCCATTTTGGTATAAGGAGCGCCAGCGTTTCTTTTTACTTTTCTTTTTTAATAACCCAGCTGTTACAATAAATGCTGCACTAGCCGCTATCAAACAGTCCCGGTCAGCCATTTCAACGGATTTACTGCAGCACAGGTGGATCGCTGCGTCGTTGGGTCCTCAGCAAAATTCAAACGAGGAATCCGTTCGGCCTCGGCTTGCCTCGTTCCTGTTCGTGCTCAGATGAATACGCGCCTTAAGACATACACTCGGCTCCGGCGCCTTCGCCGCCTCGCCTCGCTCTGATAGATACTTGTTCGTGGCTCGGATTTGCCTCGCTCTATTTATCCATTACATCACATTTTTGCCATTTTTAGTCGATATCTATTTTTGAGGCTCAAAAAAAGGCTACAGAGGTCTCAAATCTGAATCAAACTCACTTAATCTCGTAGAATTTCACTGGGAAATGCCCATTTTACATCAATTTCGGTGAATTTTGTAAATTTCACTTTGGTGTCATTTTGCGTAGACGCTTTTGAATTTTTAATGGCGCTCAAAGTGGAATGCCCCATGCTTCCTTGAAATTAATGTATTTTTCATAAGTATTTTTAAAATCCCGATGACCAAATCTGTCAGATGCCATCAAAACAGCGACGATTATTGACAATTTTTTTTCAATTTTTTTCGTAAAACTGCAAGTAGGCTCCGAATTTTGACGAAACCCTCTGTAACGTGTTCTTTGCAACAAATTGCATCGCCCAAGAAGTCGTTCAATCGAATTTTTTAATTTGCGAGGGCGATTATTGATTTTGGGAATGTCACCAATACAAAATGACTGTTTTTGAAAATCGTCGTCTCCGTATCTGCACATAGTGGTGTGCAACAGTTTATCATCGATTATTATTCGCGGCAAACTGCCTCCAATTTCCTATCATTAATGCGATTTTTAGCCAAAATCAATGTTTGAGATCCCAAAAAGGTCATTTAGAGACCCTAACCAACCTTTGGATTCACTTGACCTCGTAGTTTTAAGGACGATTTTTAAAAAAAAAAACAAAATTTCAAAACTTTTTCATGAAATAATTATTATAAGAACCTTCCTAAGAATATTTCGAAGAGGATTTTTTATACGGAGATTTCTAGTAATAGTTCTTTTTCTAGGAAGGCTAAAATTAATAAGCTTCTGCCCGCTAGTCCAAGAAGTTTAGCAACAGTTCTGGAAGGATCTCTAAAAAAGCTTTTAAAAAAATGTTTCTAACCGCATTCATTTGCAGGAAAGTTTCTATCAAGATTTTCAATAGCTATAGTCTTTGGGAGACAGTTTCGTTTAACTTTCGAAATATACTCTCGTTTATTTAAATTCTTTTCGCTCTAACTTTTATATCCTTACGTATCTTTTTTGTAATCCACTAGTTAGTATATACTCGTAAGTTAACTCCTGTAGTAAATTTGTTATTATCTTAGTGTAGATTTCTCATTACCTATAGTTCTCTGTCTTGTCGTTAGAGGCTATCCTAGTGTTAAAGGTTTCTTTTACTTATAATAATAATGCTTTTATTAATCCAGGTGATCCATTATAATAGATATAGGACATGCCAGAAATCATAAGTATAATTTAATGTAACTATGATATTGATAAACATAATATATTATGATTACTTAATTTAATTTACTTAATACCTAAATTATCGCTAATAAACTCTTCCAGGGAATAGTAGGCTTTGAGAACTAGGATTTGTTTTATCGTCTTGACAAATTTATGATACGGTACTTACTTCTTTGTTTGGTTGCTAGAGTACACGTTTTGTAGCTTTCTCCTCTTTTAATTTGATTTTACGCATTCGCTGCACTTCTTCCTCCTCGGTGACGTTTCTGTCCTCAAATGTCTCTTGGTACGCTATTACTTCGTGTCTACCGTACGGGATTTATTGTTTTGGCTTTACTATATTATCTTTGGAGTGGTTTCTCTTTTTCTTTGATGTCTGTGATGGCTCCATTGAAACGTTTTTATGGATCTGATTTGCATTTAAACAAAACGAGATATGTTACATTATTACGCAGTATTTTCTTTATCGTTAATTCTTTTCAATTACCTTTTACGTTTACCTACCTGGAATTTACCTACGATCGGCGTATTCAGTAAATGGATGATATTGCAATTGTTACTTGACTCCGCTATTTTAGTGGGATTGATGTTGACTCATTTCAAGACCAGAACAAGGATCTCTTAGTCTGCCTTGTTTCCTCTTTTGGTAAGTATTCTCCCTTCTCTTTTGAAAGTGACTAAAGACCAAGTGGCTCCTATCCGGTTTACTATTACTACTTTTCCCTTTTGCTTATTTTTGCTAGTGTATACGAACCCCGTTATTCACCCCGACGCACCTCTACTTTGCCTGAGCTTACCGTGTGCTTATCTCAAGGTAATTTTGTTACTTTTGCTAAAAGTGAGCGATTCCTAAATATATTGCCCTTAAGTCAAATTCCTAGGAAGGCTATATAGAAGAATTCTAATTAAATTTGCATTTCTCTAGTTGTTTTTCGATTTTCGAATTGAGGTTAATTGCGTATTATTTTCTTGTTTCAATTTTATTGCTATTGTAATTCATTCAATTAAGTAACCTGTTATGCAGGTGTGCGCATTTAGATCGACGTAAGTGGGGACGCGTTCGTTTGAAGCCAGCGTTACCAAGGCTAACTATGATTGGCGCTTTATCTGTAAAAGCAGGAAGAAGACATTATTTTTTGTGGATGTAGTGTTTTTTTTAAATACCT